CTACTCGATGCGCCTTGAAATTAGTCCGTGTCACAGTGAATTCCGGGAATTACTGTAACAATTCTTACAAATCCATTGACGCCAACTTTGATAATTCTCTCACAGCACTGACGCTGCCGAATGTGACACTCATGACCGTTCATTGGCGACCTTTTGGCTGGCGCTTTTCCAACAGAGGTCCACTCCAGCTCCTTACGAACCCAACGGCGCTGTTTTGTGCTAAAGCACATTCCACGCTGGCCACATGATCGGGGCAGAGCCCATCGTTGGGCATCCTCTAATCGTGCACTCATTTTTTCGCCCTAGAAGGGAGGGCACAACACCTAAGCAAGCACCGTGATGGGCTCAGCTGAGCCTTCAGAGCAGATTTTCTAGTAGAAAAGTCGCACCTTCACAAAAGAATTAGCAAGCTTAGTTCTCTATTCATGTGAATTTTGTTGCATTGATTGTTCAGGAGCTCGCTCAAGCACGATCAAATTCGAAAAACACTTACTCGCAACGTTGCCAGTTCTCCTTCTTGAACTTTGATGGCGTTGTCGACGAACTGCTCTAGGTTCAACGTATCTATCTCATCGATCGGTACATTGAATTGATCTCCGAGATTCTTCACTAACGCCTTCATAGAAATCCTGAAAATGCATCATATGAACACGATCTTTCTGCATGGTAATGTCATACTTCTGTTGAGAGACGATTTTTTTTCTGAGAAGCTGAGGCTAAAAATTGCAGCGTTTTCGTAAAATTCTCGAAAAAGAACCACAGAAGGATGATCTATCGCTCATATCGTTTCCATCTGTTGTTTAGGGAAGCAGAACTCATTTTTGATTTGACCTAGATCTGATATTCTTGAAACGATGGTAAGGAGCAGTTCCAAGGGCAAGTGGAAGGCCCAAGGACGACACTATCGCAATGAACTGATTTCTCCGTCTAGACGAGGTAGCTCTTACAAAACTGTTCACTTACAATGCGATAAAAAGGAAAACTCTCCGATCACAGGTCTAGCGTCGGGCTTTTTTAGTGTAATCCGCGCTAACCAAGTGGGAGGAGTCGGGTCTGTTGTCGCGCTCTTCACTCTTCCCGGTCTTCGAAATGAGTGGTAGCTCCGACTCCCATAGGACTGCCCCGTTAAGTATGATTCCAGACGTCATAACTGTTTTGTGGAGTGGGTAGCATGCCCTATTGCTAATTATCTGGCTTTTTAGCGAGCTCAAGCAACCACATGAACTGGTGAAAGCTCTACTTTAAGCTGGAGGAAGCACGGAAAAAGCTTGAAAATATAGCCTTTGAATACTAAAACTGACTTTTTACCGCCGAACCACACTTGCACATTGGCGACGTTCTCCATCTTTCGTCCGAAGTAGTGCAACTTCTTCAAGGTGTCTGCTGCGATCTCGATGGCGATCGTTGTCAACGCCAAACCAACTGTACAATAAACCAAGAGTGATCACCTGGAATCAAAGACCTTACGATTGGAGTTGTAATTTTTGGAGCACAATTCCCATACTTACGAGATAAGTGTCACTCTGCGGCACCAAATCACCAAGACCTATAGTCGTTAACGTGACAAAATTGAAGTAAATCGCCTAAATCAATACAAAATTAGATACTGTTTCAATATCAGCACAGCATCGATACCAAACAATATTTTTCTATAAGATCAGTGATCTTTGCAGGTGAAGATTCGGCCTTCGGGGTTGTAATAGAGTAAGAAGGAGTCCATGGTAGGAGGCTGTATTCCCGCTGTATTCCTTGTATCAGCATCTGTCTCTCATGCTTCTACTACGGTCCATAGTACTTTGACGAGTACTGTATCATGCGGAGTATATGTAGTGGGTGCACAAACTATCGCTTTAGAGAGAACTTTCAATGTATTCTGTGTTGTAGTGTATTCTGCCAAAGAGGTTGGTAGGTGGAAAACTTTATTGAACTTGGCCT